GTTAATTACACTCAAAGTAAAATCAGAAAACATTTCATCCCTTCTTGCCCATTCATCAATCCTTTTGCGTTGTAATTTTAATATTTTGATCTAAACGCTTTAAAATATGTTAAGCCAACGCCAATATAAAATTATTAATATTTTTATAAAGGATATAAAAATATAAAATTATTTTTGTATGCGTTGGGTCCTGAATAGCTGTTGACAGCACCCCTCCGGAGCTCAACCTAGATGGATGGACTGAGGTCTGAGCCGGACTCGGGATAGGTGTTTCCCGACTCTGCCGGCAGTGTACTGTCAATAGCAAAAGTTAAAAAGCCGGTGGATTTCGATAAGCTAATAGGCACAACTCGCCACGTGTTTATGTTTGTACGTCATATATAAAACCAAATTCTAAAGTAAGAAAATTATTTATATGTAAGATTGTTAGTTTCTGTATGTGTGCGTATGTACAATACATTCTTGACAAGGATGGACATCTAGTAAAATATCACATGCTTAAAAAATCTGTTAGAGGACCACGATCACCGATTTTAATTAAACATGGTTATAGGATACTAGGTCGAAATATTAGACACGTTTCCGACCGTTCTTACCAGATTAGCCAGCTAGATATTGCCTTTTTACGTAAATTATAATAATTATGATAATATCTTTGTTGCGCATGTGATTCATGCTGATTATATATCAATCAATTTGGCTTATGTTGCGTAGCATATGAAAATATTGCGAATCTAATTGAGTACAATAGCTGGACTGTCGGGGGGTAGAACTGCAGTCAAATTTTGCCAAAATGTGTTAAATGCAGACTTCCATAAGCCTTTAGGCTTGACAAACTGGGTATAATTAATGGAAAAAATAAATGGTGGAGTGAGTGTGTTGTTCAATTTTATTAAAAAGATAGTTCCTACACACAGTAAGTTGTTATCAACGATCCGGATTTCAAACTTTCATCAGGTCGAAGGAGCTCTAAAACCTGATGATGAGCTGTAGGCTCGAAATCCTGATAGTTGAAAACAACTTACTGTGAGTAGAAATTGTCTTTTTAAAAAGAGTGAACAACACACTCACTACACCATTTATCTTTTCTATTAACTGGGTATAATAGTTTATCCCGAAAAGTAAACCATTTCTTTCTAAACGCGATGTGATATTTTGACTTGACATCTCGAATTGGTTTGGATGGGAGAAAAAAAATATCTTTTTTAGGCACTTGTATTATTGCATTTGTTTCATTTCTAAAAATAATTGATTTATTGCAGTAATCCCAGTTTTTCAATATAGTGGTTTTTAATAAAACTTGACTTCCCCATTTTACCTGCCAAGTCGATCAAAGATACTAATGGATTATTGCATAAGTGATGGTACGATAATGGGCAAGGGCCAAAAAATTGTGAGAAAAACTGTACTATTCATAATGTGTAGTACCAGAAAGTCAAAATATAATTTAATTGATTAAAAACATACATGATAAAGAAACTGCCTTAAATTTGATTAAATATGAGGTACAATAAAAAAGCTAGTACACAAATTGAATTTGTACCAAGGTATAAACTTTAAAATCGCAATCGCATAAGTGTTTTTGAACTTATTCAGTTTCCCCCTGCAGTGCAGAGATATATATATGTAATATTATATAAATTACAGGGCGGTCCATCTTTCAAGGCACCGAAAAACAATGCAACACTTTCTTTTTAGGCATTGCAGAGTATAACAAATCGTCCGATGAGGCTATTAGAGAATGATCCTTAGAAGCTACTGTAGATGAGCCCGACACGTGCAGTAAGTAATTTTATGTCACAGAACACTCGGATTTTAATCGGAATCGAACCCACGGCCGCGGGATCTACGAGCCGAGAGTCTCTCACGCTAACCACTCGGCTACGCTGCCCCCCAAAACGTTTTTTTTAAACTTTAAATATTTCAACTGAAGTCGAAGCATATCAAAAGCAGCGAAGTTAATCCGTAGCTGCTGGTAATCACGCTCCTCTCCTTATTTACACTTTTGCCACTCGAAAACCGTTCTTCCGCCCAGCAATACGAACTTCCATACATCCAGTTCACTTTTCTCTCTACGCTCCACTTCAACTTTTGGATTATTATTGTACGAGTACGGCTGTTCTGCAGGAAAGGAAGTCCCACATTCAAAAGTACGACTCGCTGTCCTCAGCACGGCCGAGTCATGATTCTGCCGGCCAGCTCATGTCTCCGCACGCCGGTCAACTTTTCACACTCGCCACATTTGTTCGTCCATACGTCGTATATTTTATTTTATGTCTAATTCAAAATGCGAAGTTTCTCTTTTGTGTTTCGTTGATTATTAATTCACTTAAATAAATATATATATAAGTGGGAAGTTTATGGGCCAACAAACAGCTGAGGTCATCGCCGGCCCTCTACGTGTTTTCCATCTTTTTCTTTTCTTTCGCGCATATTGTTTTAAACTGCAGCCATTTGAGCATCTCGATCTGGTTACTGACTCTCTGATTTCAGATATATATTACGTTGATATTCTAGAATGCTAGTCTCTCGTTTGTACCTCAGGTTGTCAAATACAGAATAAAAACAAAACATATATATATACATCACCACAAACATAGATGTCTGGTCACATTCATTCCCAAAGAGTACTCGATATTCCTCGGGGCGGGGTTATAAGCAACCCCTTCCTTTCATGCTAATAAATTACTTTTACTCTGCAGACGTCATATACTCACCCCAGAGTACTTGATATTCCTCGGGGCGGGGTTATAAGCAACCTCTTCCTTTCACGCTAATAAATTAAATTCATTCCGATAAATTAACACAAACACAACACTCGATAGAAACATAGAGGTCTGGTCACTTTCAATATTCCTCGGGGCGGGGTTGAACCCTCTCCACTCTCGCTAATAACTTACTTTACTCTCCAGACGTCACACACTCACCCCAGAGTACTCGATATTCCTCGGGGCGGGGTTTAATCACCCCTTCCTTTCATGCTAATAAATTACATTCATTCCAATAAATTAACATAAAGTCAAACACAGACACAGCACACACATATAAAACTGTATACATTTAAAAATCCCTATAGCCCTGAGGTACCGGAACAGCGGTCTGTTCCCGCTGCCGTGCCTCAAGACCACCCACAGGTCCGATGATATGCCAAAATATTGTCTATATACATCAAGCCTTCTGCACTTGAAGAGGTGTTCGACCGTTATTCTATCCTTACATAACGGGCACCTACGCGGTCGCTTTCCGGCCAGAAGGTGCCCGTGCGTTATTCTCGTATGACCTATGCGTAGTCTTGTCAGTATGGCCTTTTCCCTTTTCGAACCGTTCTCCGTGGACCAGGGACCGACTTCTTTCTTAACCTGCCACAGTTTGGCAGGGTTAATTCTATTTCTTCGAGCCCAGCGGGTTTCCCATTCTTTTTTTACTGAGTTTGAAATTAGTAGTTTTAGGTCCGCTGGGCGTATAGGTTGGGAAACGTCGTGGGGCATTCCAGCGGCTCCTTTGGCCGCCCTGTCTGCTTCTTCGTTCCCGGCTATACCTATGTGGCCGGGAACCCATGCCAACACGACCTTCTTCCCAACTGCATCGATCCCTTTTAACTGTTCTTTTATCTTGTTTGTTAAGGGGTCCACGGAGGCTCTTCTCCTGAGCTTCTGGACCGCACTGAGCGAATCGGTACATAACAAAAAAGAGTTGTCGTTTTTATTTTTTATCATGCTCAGTGCGAGGGATATGGCGTTTAGTTCCGCCGTGTACACACTTGTGGCAGGAGGGAGCGATACTTGTTTAGTTTCTCCCTCCGTGTACACGGCACACCCCACGCCTTCTGCCGTTTTGGACCCGTCTGTAAGAATAAATATAAAAAAATTATATATCTAATCTTATTTAAATACAATCTTGCATATTACTTATTTATCCTACTTCAAATGTAAGTGATCGAGTGATTATAATAACCTTGATTTACAAGAACAACTAAGAAAAAATTTCTCCGTTTCCAGGACCCATTGACAAGAATGCTTGGACAAATGTCTAATATTTTGTAACCTGGTATCACCAAAAAGTTTCATTGATTCTGTGATCTCACGCCCTTATCGCCCTTGTAAGACGCTAATGATTAGGCTAAACCCGCACGACTTCGAGGTATTAACAAACAGTATACTCGTAGCGCCGGCAATGATTTGTTTGAGATTCGAACTCAACTCTAGTAACAATTCAGGCTTAAATTCTTTGAACATTTTTATACTTACTTTATCTAATAAGTAAAACTTACTTTACTCCTAATATTAAGAAAAAATGTATAATGAACATCATGTTTATTAAATTATTCTATTACATTCACCCCTCCATTTATAAATTGAATTTTTCGTAAAATAAATAAATAAACAATATATTTTTTATTATTTATTACATTGGTTTGTAATTTTAACATAATTTACAACATTTCAGTTAAGTTTAATTTTCTCTAATACACTCTTTTTCCAACAAGGTACTTTTCAAATTTCTCTCAAACACGAATTGTCTTAAAAATTAAAAAATGTTAATAATCACATGACGTAGGCACATTGAAGGCACATCTTACGATTAATATCACAAAGAAAAGAACAGTGTATTTTAGGCAAAAAGCGAATTAATTGACAGAATAATATTTTCAAGTATTCGATTTTGTACGATGTACAAAACAACAATAGTGAACATAATATAAATTATAATTTTAGAAATATTATAAGATTTTTGACGTATTTACAATAACAGCCTGGTAGACTATTTTGTAATTATTACATACATTTGAATAAATTATGAATATTTACAACATTTTTTGGTGTGGGTTTTTCAATTTTGGGTTTATTTCCTTATTTTTCGTGTATTAAATTCATATAATGTGAAATTGAAGTAAATTTACTTAATAATCATGTAAATTGGCACAATTATTTTTTTATACTTTTTATATATTTAATTCTGTTCATAATGTTTAAAGTGAAAGAATATATAATATATTATTACAAATATATTTTTACAACATGTATAAATAAATACGTATATTTAGGTTAAATATAAATACAAAAGCTTTCCATTTTGTTTTACATAATTTCGTTCGGGTAGTATACAAGGTATCTCGGCTTGAAATGCGGCAGCTTGTAAACGCAGTCGGATTGTTCGGGATTGACGCTTTCTTGTGTTGTCGCAGCAGCTGAAACAAATTGAAATTGGCTCAACAAAGTTATGGTGACTGATATTCCATCTCGGTTAAGAATTATATGTAGGAATTTAATAAATTATATTTTTTTTATTGGACTTGGGAAAACAGTGAATTCAAGGTGAAAATGAAGGTTGTTTCGTTTTTTTCTGAGGAAAGTTAAATTTAACAAATAAAAACCCCACAGTTTTATGCAAAAGGCTTAATTATGTTTTATTTGAGAGATTATGCTATTTTATTAACCTAATCTAAAGTCGAGTCGGGAGGACAATACGAGCTTTCGTGACTCTAAACTGGCATCTAAACTTTTAATATGAAACAGATAAGCCAACAGAAATCATATCAAAGTTAGTCTTTTGGTAAAATGAAAGGGTCACATGAAATATAAATGAAAATTTTGAATTAATAGTGATAAAAAAACAATAACTGTATATAGCATATTTCCTTTTAAACGCATATTTGATTGTACGTCATTAAGTTGTATATTTTGTCAATCATGAAGTCAAATTAACGTCACAAGGCTCTTTACTTTACCATTTTAGTCACATTTATTTTTTATTAATAACTTCAATTATACTCAACACGCTCATTGACTGTGTTGCCAAGGGAGTGATGATACACATGCATTATTTTTTAAACCGGAAAGCTTTCTAAGAAATGACTTGAAAATGTTCAACCGGAAGGTATAAAGCTTTCAAGCAGTACTTCAAATCCGGTAAGAATACGTGAGGCGATACGTCTTCTTCGGCCTCCTTCTTCAAGGTGCTAAGACATTTTTCAAGAAATTACCTCCCATTTTGTTATATTTCATCGGGAACAATCCTTCATGAAAAAATACTGTTTAAGAATCGCGATGAATTTGTCCAAATACAGAAGTGTTGTGAAAAAGAAGAAAAATGGATTTAATCCTTTGGGAAAGAAACAGCCTCCTTTCCAGAGGTTTTTACTTAACCGTAAGAATGTGACAGAAATAAATTTTACAAGGCAGGTTGTTTTTTACACTTCGCAAAATTGGCAGCTACTATAACTTAGCGAGGGCTTACAGGCTTGGATTACCTCTATTAATCAACTGTCGGCAATTTAACATACAAGTGATTGTCAATTATGTAACCGGTAGGCTATCGTTGTTTCGAGTGAACGCGGACAATTAAATGTTGGCCAGGTTTAATTTTTCTCTGGAAGCCATTAACTTCAATAGTCCAATTCCTTCTCTTTTTCTATCTAGTTGTATTATTGCATGCCATTAATGGAAGATTACCGTACAGGTTTAATTCGATAGAAATTAAGCTCTTTTAAACAGTCTACCAAAAAAAGAACACTTAAACAAAACAGTCAATAAGAGGGGGAGAGAGAGTGAATGAGAGATGATTTTTTGAAATCTAAACACCAAAAAACTTTAAAAAATTGTTAATAGATTCATAAGCGTCCGCTAAAATCAACATCATATACAATACGTTTATATAAGAGAATAGATTCTGTGTACTAACGGATAATTTACACAGGATTAAACCTGCCTAGCACGAATGAAACATGAACATTGTTTTCTATTGTCATGAACACCTCCAAAAGCGTGGACGGTGTTTGTACTGCCATCATGTTCCAAGAATCAAGGTCAAAAAGATCCAAATAAGTCTTTTTAAAAAAAGAAAGAAAAGGTAAGTACTCATAAGCTGAAGAATCTTTACACAAATAACCTCAAAATCTTAATCTTTTGATCAAAGTTAAGGGGTAAATTATCAATATACATTCAAAGACAGAAAAACTGGAAACTTGTATTGATTTGTTTATTGGGCATAATAACTAGGTATAAATAGGTGACTTAAAACGTAAACACAACATTAATAACTTGTTGTTTACCTTTCAAGTTTCGGTGTCCTTTGACTTCCTCAATACGAACTGTTCATAATAAAATTTAATTTTACAATAAATTACGTTTTTAATTTTGTCACCGGATTAGTAATTTGAGGGTAATACCGACATACCTTTATCAACTCAATTTTAATAAAACAAAGACAGCCAGGATAACATAACTAAACATTTTACAGGACATTTTTAACCCCAATAAATATAATAAAAATAGTTGAATACAATCAACAGACACTCCTCAACAAATCAAAAAACAATTATTCTAAACAGCTAAATATACAAAGAAAATAATTATATATTGGCAAATGAAAAAGAATAAAACACATTTAAAAACTAATGTCAGAACGAGTTCTTCTTAGGTCGAGATTTGCCGATTTTAGAGTAGGGATCAATATCATCTTTATATAACCGTATTCGTCAAAATTGTTTATTTCATTGGCCGTACAATCGGATTAATTATTTAATAACTTAATAAATAAAACGTTTTGTAAACGACTTCGGAAAGTAATACACATTTGTGCCTCCGGGGCGGGTTGTGACGGCCGATTTTATCAAAAGTTTGAGAGTGTATCAGCACTCAACTTTCCAGTCAAAGTTCAAAGTTTTATTTAATTTTGTTGATAAGTTTCGGACCGTCCGGGAAAAATATGTTTGAAATGTAGTTCTGATGCGATTAAATCTTGCCCCTGCTTCACAACTGTAGGCGATTATATATAAATATGTAATAAAGTAAATATTGGTAATAATATTGGCATATTTATGACCATATAATACAAATTAATTAATGTACATTTATCTTACTACTAATATATTATATAAATATTATATATTATATAAATATTTTAAGAACAGAAATAATTATTAGTATTGATCTAAATACCGACATAAAAGGAATTTTAATTCATTTCGTACTAAAAAAACGAGTGATAAGGCAACGTATTAATTTAATTTTTTTAAGAAGACATTCTAATATTAAAGGCTTATCAGGTATATCGAGGTACTTTAAAGTAACTACTTTAGAGTGGCATGTTTGATAGAACCAGATAGTTCTATGCTGTATGGGTTTCAATGCTGAGTTGTACTTTGTTGTCCAGGGAGAGTTTAACTCATTTGCCTCAATATTTTAAGTAATTGGTATCGTCGGTTTAGTTCTGTCCTTTTAAGTCATGTATAAAGATTTCAGTCAGTCACTTGTCTAGATAAAGCTCGAGGTAGTGGATGACATTTTCGGTAGGATGGAATTGCAGTTATAATATATTTAAAATAATTTCAATTAATTATACTTTTTATGTAAAATCTTAGTTGAGATGTATCATGAGCGGCATTCTAACCCCCGACGGCTCAATACGCCGCTACTCTAACCACTTGAGTTACGTTGACTTCGATCCATTCAGACACCACCCATCTCAACCTGCAGCCTTTCGAATTTTTACTCACTTTATGCCATTTAAACATATATGGATTAATTTAAAATAGTATTAAGTACAGTAACGGACCCAGGATGCAACCCGGAGGGACGCTCCGTGCTTCTTGTACAGAAATACCAATACTCGAAAGTACCTGTGGGCCAGATAGAACTTAGTAGGTAGGATGCCCTTGAGTGTGCAGAGCAAACCCAGGATTGAAAGCCTGTAATTTTTTAATGTGGTAAACCGTCAAAAATTAGTCAATACAAATTTTAATTAATTAAGGTTTTTAATTGAGATAAAAAAAGTCAATGGCACGAGCGGGATTCGAACCTACGATCTTCGGCGAGATACGCCGCTGCTCTACCACTTGAGCTATCGGGACCTCGATCCACTCGAACACCAACTTCCTAACTCAACCCAACCTTTTGAGTTTTCCCTCCTCATTTGTCGCAGAGAATCCAATCCGATTACACGACATTTGACAAATGGCAAAAAGGAGGGAAAACTCAAAAGATGGGGTTGAGATAGGAAGTTGATGTCCGAGTGGATCGAGGTCACGATAGCTCAAGTGGTGGAGCAGCGGCGTATCTAGCCGAAGATCGTGGGTTCGAATCCCGTTCGTGCCATATAAGACTAAAACCTACAATGTAAAAAATCTATTACAATTTTATAATTAAAAAATATATTTTATCATCACTATAGATTTCTTCAAGTACGCTTAGAAAGCCTAGGTTTATATACAGGGTGTCCTTTTTAGATGGCGGTGAATTTCTCTTGAACTAATGACGCTATCGAAAAAACGTGTTTAACTTTTTTTAGTCTAGCTTTTACCTATTTTGAAGAAAAATTTTACAAGGTACCTCAGGCTCAGTTCTACTTCAAAATTTAAAATATGACCCTATACATCCTAAATTTTATGTATTTTAAAGGATGTTTTATTCTGAAAACAATGTTGCAATCCGGTTTCAAATTGTCAAAAATTACAAAGTTATAGCAAAAAAACCGGCAGCATAATTCGAGCTGAATATTTCAATGTGTATTCACGAAAATGCGAAATCCTTTCTCCGCAATGTTGGAACGGTTTTTCAAAAAAATAAAATTAAAGGTGTAGTCCGGACAATCGCTCTCATGTTGTCGGGGATTTCGGGACTCTGATTATTGGAGGTGTGTAACGTTCCTTGCACAAATGTCGATTTGGGAGGCTGAAGAAAACGTTCTTCTATACATCCTATGACTGATGAATCCAAGTTCACCTCTAATGGCATACTAAAAGGTTGGCATTTTCGAACGTGGGCAGAAGAAAATCCGAGAATTTTGTACTCTTGTCATCATCAGTCTTCTCCAGCTTGATGGTACCCCGCACACAATTATTTGCTGGTGAGACCATTATTTCCGGCTGGATAGGACCTCATTTGGTGATCTGTTGGGCTCTTCGGTCACCCGATTTAACTCCAATTGACTATTTTTTGTGGGACCCAATCATAACCCAGCAGCCTAAGTTGAAGAAATGCGGCAAAGGAAAGGAAATGCTTATCACTCTATCTCCCCTGGCTGGTTAAAGAGTAGTTAAAAAGAGCAAATCTTTGCATCATTACGCAAGGCAGGCAAGTTGGACATGAACTTTGATTAATAAATAGCAAACCAAATTTTTTTTCAAACTTTTTGCCATAAGGTTGTCATTTTTTGACCAATTTAAAACGTAAAAAATCCTTTACAATGATGTGTCAAGATATATATTTGAAATTTTGAAGTTGATGATACCCTGAGATACCCTGCATAACTTTTCTCCAAAAAAGTAAAAATTTGAAACTAGGCTAAAAATTTTAAATACGTAATTTTTTTATAGCGTCATTGTTTCAAAAGAAATTCAGCCGGCCCATCAAAAAAAAAACACTGTATAAGGAAAGAAAATTACTCTTCTAAGATTGCATCTCTTCTGTTTTAAGCCTCATCCATTTTCTTTTATATTCAATTTTTTGTATCATGTTTTTAGAAAATTGAATTCTTACGTAATTTGCAGTATCTGTGCGTGATGTGCTTTGGAAAGGCAACCGCATGAAGCGAGTCTCCCAGTTCCGAATCGGCGAGAAGGGAGAAATTTTTTTTCAGAGGAATGTTCCCAATAATTATGGGAAGCTTTAAAATAAGAGGTTCTTTTTCGCCTGTAACGTACATCAACACCTGAAAAAGAAAAATATTTGTTTTTGTTAAATATTATTGTAAAAAATAAAATAATTACATAATATATAAATACTATCTTTTATTATTTTCCATCACTTATTTACAAATCTAAAAGCGTCTGACAAGCACCAGGCTGAAGTTTTGAAGTCAGAACAATTAGAAATTATCCTCATGATACATCTTACGTATACAGATTCGGTGATAATAGATTAGTAATACTGAAGTATAATGGAATAACTGTCTTGTTTCGTCAATCTTATTTCTTAATAGAGTCTTAAGTATTTTAAAGATACAAAATATTATGTCTATTATAGTTTTATTACTTTTTCACATGATTTTTTATTAAAACTATTTGTAAAATAACAAATATACATATAATAATGTTTTAGAGAAAAGCTAAAGAAAAAACCCAACTGATAAATGTAATCCTATGTTATGCGTTAAGTAATATTTATTTTATGCTCCTCCAATTAGAAGCTTAAGCATTTCGCCACGGATTGTACTGTGAGTTCGTAGGAGTAATAACTGGTATGTTATTACTAAAATCAGACTCATATGAAGAATGGGAAACTAGTTTATAAATATATAAAAATCGTGTGACGGCTTATCATCCCTTGATATAAATTACTCTGGAAAATCATTCAGCCAGAAAAAAATCTGGTTAGTTTCACGTTTATTTATTTTTTATTTTATTTATTTATCTTTTTATAAAAACAACAATTTTAATAGGACATATATTTTTAGTTTTAAGCGTGATCGATCTAGTTTTAATCGTACTTAAATGTTGACAAGGCAGAAATTGCTTTAATCATGTACAGTAATTTTGAAATCCCTGCATTGTATTTAAGATTAGAAGAGAATAGATTACAATATCTCTGAAATAAACTTTCAAGTTCAACCAACTTGTATTGTTAATTTTTTTTTTAAATCGAAACACTTGAAACACATATCGTTTATTTATTTGCATAAAATCGATCGTAAATAGCGTGTTCAATAATAATTAATTTATATTTTATATAAGTCATCGAAAGTAAATAAAATATATTTTTATACAATTTAATTGATTTTATTTTGAGTTTAATAAGTATCACTATTAAAAATAACTACAACTTATCCATTCATCCCTACTGCATGTAAATCAAATTTTAGCTCTTAAATTTCTATCTGTTTGGATTTATACTTTGTATTCTATTGAATCGTTTATATAGCTTCAAAGCACTGTTTAGAAAAAATATACAACTGGCGACCAAACTACCCTCAACCAATGGGTTTATTGGAACTGGGTTAACTTAGCAATAGTTAAAAGAATATTAAATAAAATAATTATGCTCCTAATATGTATTCCATGCAGGTTTCCGGGAAGTTTTATCGAAAAATTGGTGAAATGCTCTTTTACATTTTTTTAATTTACAGTTGATTACAAGTACCTTTAATTAGGTAACAAATAATAATGATGTTTTAGTTCGCAACAGCAGATGTCATATCAACCCTCGGGGTGCTGGTGTTTTTGAAAAAAAGCCCATTTGTAAGTATGTCCGGCTCGAATGCAGGGCCGCTGTATTCGAACCCGGGACCTTTACCTTACTGTGATGAGCGCCGTGTCAACCGTTAAACCGTTGCGGCCTCCGTCGCCTCTAAAAATAGTAATTTTTTATTAAAAATATTAACTTATTGGAAAGGTTTCATCAGCCTTTTATTCCAACGTAGCCATAACCACCAGATGCCAAATTATTTTGCATTATATTACCTCGAATTACCATGCAACTCTGTCCGGCGTCTTTAATACAAAGGCCGACGACATTTATGAAATTCTAATTAATCCGTTTGAATATATTGTTTGGTACGGCTAGTACACGTACTAGCGTCAGTTCTTTTACGTACTTGCAACACCGTGGCCTAATCTTACCCCGGTACTCGCTTTCCGGAGAGAGATAATTTTTAAATAGCCGTACAGCACACTAGCACGGAGAAATAGCGTCATGAATTGTCTTTTCGAATGTTGCTTGGCACAAATACAAAGAGATGGTCAAAATTTGTGTTGACATTCCATAAAAGTTACAATAAATTTATTCTGGCCTGATATCATCAACCTCCTAAACAGAGTACTAAACCTGAGGGCCAGAACATCCCACCGCTATATCGGATTACAAAATGATAATCTGGCTCCCTAAGCTCATCATGCAACATATTCAAATCTCCTCGTTCTTCTTAACGGCGCACAATGCATCTGCCGAGTCAGTCGAGCTTTACTTTTTTGTCCAGATTTTGCAGCAGTTGAAGTAATAAACCAAGTCCATCTATCGCGCACCAACATCAATCTTTTCCAGTTCATTTTAAAAAATAGAAGAGGGAAAATTAAGATATATAAACATAAGCTATAAGACGAAACAAATACTCCTTTTTGTTGTAGGTTTCAAAATTTGAGGCTACTTTCCTGGCACACCAGCCAGAAAAATATGCCGGATTTAATAAGACTTAAATAAAATCTAGATGGCTTCCAATTAAAGCTCTAATTCTGTGAGTAGAACCATCATTTAGAAAAAGTGTTTCAAACATATATTGCAAATAAGGCCATAAATCTGACGGATCGCCTACCCAGCAGGGAGCGAAGAGATTTTCCCACAAACATGGAAGTCATAGAAACGCGACCGACGAATAGCCTCACTAAATAACGAAAGTCGAGAAGTTATTTGGAAAAGTTATCGCAGACACAGTTCATCAAGCTGTGGGACACCATAAATTTGGAGTCACGAGTACACACTTCGCCGGAAGTCCATCGACATAGGGCAAATGGCTGCGTAATGGAAACTGCCCAGGACATGGAAGGAAGTTGAACATCGGGCCCAACTGTTTTTTGCTATTCATTCCCTCCCTAGGATGGAGGATGATTTGTAGAGCAAAATCAGTCGATCAAAGGACTCAGTCGGGGGACTCAGCCAGCAAGGACCTAGCCATTGCAGCAAATCGGCCAAAGTCGAGAATCCGGGAAGCTGCGGGAAGAAGCACCTTGAAGGCTTTGAATTTGAAGAAGAATTTGAAATAAGTCCTCTTGCAAATAAGCTCATCCTCAGAGTTTTGGCCGAGTAAACTTGGTTGTTTGACTTTTTGTTTGTTTATTACAACATTAAAAAGAGCCAATAATAATAAATGTCTATTAATTCTCTCTCTGGTTATTGTGTTTTTGAACCTAGCGATCAGCACATAATCGCTAAGCGATAAGACAACATTCAGCGTACGCGCTTAACTTTTTTCGTTTGGAGGAAGGTAAAGTTCAAAAGTACAATAGAGAGATAGTATTCACAAATATTTATACTTAGCGCCATCGTCCGCTTACAGAATCAATTATCAATTTAAATTATTGTACAATTTACAATATGCAATAGGCTAATGAGTTCCTTTGCAATAGTAGAGAATATCTGAATTTTTTAATCATAAAAAAATAATCAGTTAACTTAGCTTTCATTTAATGTTTTGAATGTGTACGATAGAATAATTAAATCTACACCTAGTTAATTCCTCGCTGCTTAATTTACAGTATTGTAAATTGGAAAACATTTTATATTTAAATGCCCTCTCTATCAAGCTTATATAAATAAATATAGAAAATGAACAGCCTAAATAACTCACCCAATATATTAATAATGGGATAAATCATTACCTTAGTTTTTTTTATTCTGGTTTTTCTATAATTATCTGTCTTTAAGTGTAAAATCTAACTTTACGTGTTTCACTACTAAGTCCCATAGAAAATGTACAAATTAAAACAAGAAGTGCAAATAATTGTAATAAGACCCATAGAAAACGTAAAAGTTAAAATTAAATATTCAGATACTTGTAATCTCTCCAATTATATAACATTATCAAAGAAGTAGTAAATTAAGTAGAATATTTTACATAAGATGGACAAAAATATATATTACAATTTAATAGTTGAATTTGAAATATAGATTTCAATAATGTATTAAATAAAAATAAACTACCTAAAATATACAAATTTCACCTTATAAAGTCTATTGTAAATCACTTTATCTCTTTTTCTTCCTTCTTTACTTCCTTTTTTTCCCTGTACATGTAATCCACTCGAGTCCATTCTCATTTAAGCGAAAGGCTCCTAATCTTAAATTCATATTCGTAAACACAAAAAATTCATTCCTGTTTACAAATTGGCGCAATATTTGGCAAGGTAAATTCTTCTAGATGCTTCTTAATTTCTACAAAAAAATGAAAAATGTTTTAATGTTTCAGGTCCTTGCCTGTTACAAACTGTACTATCCTTATATGCATTTAATTTTATGTTTGAATTATATGATGATCATAAAATCACTTTTAAAGGTTTTTTGTGACCAATAGAACTTGACTGTAAACCTGAATAAATCAAAAAATTTAATTTTTAGGAAAGATGGTAGGCAAGCTCGTCATGGAGTTGGAACTACAAAAGTAAGAAAATAGATGTAAATAACGTTAAATATGGAGGTGGGCAATCATTGGTCAAAATTGTAATTTGCTAATCTTCTACAACGTAAAGCACACTTGCTAAGTTAGGAGTAAATAGGGTTGAACCATCCGTTGTTTCGATGTACTGTTCCTGTAATGTGTTCACCAGGTCCTGGTACAGCTTTTGGCGAAGTTTAATAGCGTTTGTCGTTTCATTCTGCGCTATGTTTACCAGATCTGAGGGTTTCAGAGATATGTGGTAATAGAAAAAGTTCAGAGGTTTTTTATTAAAAAACTTTTCTCCCTCTCGTCTTTACACCGGCACATATGCTGTCGTTAGAGATTGAGTTGACCTACTACTTCTTTTTACCTTAAAGCTTCACTTCTCGTTTTGTTTTTTAATGCATGAACTTGATATCCACCCCTGTATCCAACATTAAAGTGTTATAATGCCCAAGCGGTGATAAACACGAATTGCTATTGGTTTTTCCAAGAGGAACACGTTGGCTAATAATTATGGCTGTGCTTTCAAGTTAACAAATGAAACTGATTGGCCTGGCCTATCTGAAATCCTCCTAAATCGAATTAGGGAAAGTCATCATGAGAGTTGACTAAGAAAAGCCTCCTTGTCCGTTTCTTTCCTCTCTGAGCAGCGATGGTTTCTAAATATGCGTTTCGAACAAATATTTTAAACTTTGTACCCTGGAAATCTAATTTTGACGAAATGTGCTCTTTACTAACTAAAGAGGTGAAGGAAGATATTTTTTACTATATTGCTGAATGCCCAATTTGATCGGAATATCGTCTTTTGCATCTAGGTGTCCCCAGCCTTTCTCGCGTTTCGTTTATCCAGATCCTAAATAATTAAAAAAATAATGTAATTTTTTTAACCTTGCCAAACCATTTACGTGCAATACTATTATCAATTGATTCAACATTTCAATTGATGATAACATTTTGACGAAATAAATAAATAAAGTTATGTTTTCTTTTTCTATGACAAAGAAATGTTAAGTTTTGTTTATATTCACATAAACGTTGTACTTGTGTTATTATGCGTATGTAACTTTTCGTTAAGATGTATCTATCATTGAGTTTTTTCATTCTATTTATTTTCACTTTTATTAATAATTAATTATTCGTTAACTCCCAACTGACGGATTGTATCATTGTCGGACTGTACGTTTGTAATATGTATCTGTTTTTTGGATAAAAAGAAAAATAAATTAATGTATGTGACAAAATCTTTATTAGCTAATTTCAGTGGCTGAAAACTCCATTGATTATGTATTGGGGTATAATTTACGTTTAGATAATGTAGATCATTTCAATTTATTTGTCATATTTAAACGTTTATATTTCATAATCGTACGTTCAAATGAGAAATTTTTAAACAAAACATGCTTTCGACAATTGGAGTAAAGATTGCAACATGGAACAAACAATAAAAGAATATTGGTGCGTGTGTTTTACTGCTTTTGTATATTCGCAAAAGCGGCCAGGAGGAAAGTATAGAGAATCAGTGGAAAGCTGGTAAGATCCTGATATGGATTTTACTTGAAGTTAACGTCCGGAATGGTTTCAAGATGACGTGAACATTAAAAATGTGGTGTTCTAGGGAATGTCAGTTCTTCAAACTAAACAGAACGTAAGCTTATAAATGAAAAACACATGAAACCTTGCGATGTATTATGTTAAACTGAGATATATCCTGAATTATGCATTGTAATTTGAAAAAAATTACATGAAATAACTTTAAAATGGAAGAAATGCGTATGAACAAGGATGAGAAATTTAAAATTCCATAAATAACATAGTGAAAATGACTTACGTCAATCCTGTAATGTATAGAGATAATTTTGCAGGAGTCGGCAGTAAAGCTGGTCGGAGGAAGGGGTGGCAGCCTGATTCCGGCAGTCCCCCAGGACAGGGATGTCCCCGGTTTAACCTCGCCCCTCGTCACTTCAAGCACTTTTCGCTCGTCTTCGTGTCTTCTCATCCCTTGCGGAGATGAGTACTCCACCATCTGTAAACCAGCAAGTGTCAGTTTTTCCCACCACATATTAAACTATCTTGTTTCAAACAAACTGAGGATAGTTGAGGAAATATCAAAAGTAGATTTATTTAATTATCCAAACTGTTTGTTCGCAAATCAGTTACCAAAAAGATGAGGTCTTAAAAATAAATCTCCGCAATCCGATCTTGATATCTAAAATTAGTAGCAATGTTATTGACAAATATAGCCTGAAACGTAATGTTACGTAACAACCGCAGAGCTGTTTCCATGTAAACATTTCTAACCAAATTGTGATGAAACATCAAAGCCGCCTTTCGATAATATTACTAATTCCAAATACTCAATCTTTTTATGTAAGGTTTTGGCTGAAATGAAAAAGTTAGTGTCACGAGCCACGACTTTCGACACCACGAGCTCAAATGGTAGAGCAGCGGCGTATTTAGCCGAAGGTCGTGAGTTCGAACCCCGCTCGTGACACTAACTTTTCCATTGCAGCTAAAACCTCAAATAAAAAGATTAAGAGTAACTGAAAGAAGTAATTTGGTCAATAGACGACTAAATATAATGGATTTAATAACTATTCCTAATATGCATTACATTGAAGAAATTAGATAGAGGAACATGTTCAAGCATGTTTTTCATAAAACATGGCATATACACTTTTTATATGTGCAATGTATGGCAAGAAAAAATTAAATTAATATTTGATTAATTCATCAATCATAATGATGTTTAACGAATTCATTAGCTACATTTTTTAGAACAGTTTTGATCGTAAATTTAAAAATATGTATCGTTTACCATGACTAATCATTCAGACAATTTAAACAAAAATTTTGATAACGAAATTGCTGAAAATGTAACTGAAGGCCGATTTGCCATAAACGATATCAGAAATTTTTTAACAATTGAGATTGAAAACATTTTTAATTCTGCACAAACATATAAAAATCTACATTAATAAACGTAAGGTAAAGTATAGATACGATTTAGTCCAGGAATTTAATTTATAATTCCATATACGCCATTCCTGCATTAAATACCTTACTAAAAAAAATTAATAATATGGACGAATAACTCATTTCTTTTTTGTGTATTAATTTTATTCTTTTTATGTTCTACAATTAATGCATGTACATCCGGAGTTTTATGTTTAATTTTAAATTTCCAATTATATGTGACCATTTACAACGATCTCAAGCCAGATGTTTAATATGTTTCATGAAGTGCACAAAATTATAAAATAAAATATTGCTATCTATCTAAACTCTATCTATCTCTAAATATCTATATATATATCTATCTATATATATAAAATCTATGTAAATATATATTATATAAAACTACAGTAATAAAATAATGGACGACAAATTCTTTTCCTTATATGTTTTTTAAATTTTGATTTGCATTTCTTTTTCAAAATAGTCTGTACTTTCGGTCTAAGTGAATAAACTCTAAAATTTGACCGCATTTCATGTATTAGTGGTCTTGTCTTGTTCAATGAGAAGGCAAAAAGTTTTAATTTTTCATTGCAATTTTTCTTAGTATACTACAAATTCGTGGCTATGGTTTGTTTTTTAACGGCAAATTGTTCACTTTTGGCAACAACTTAAATTTGTGGCTCGTTTTTATTCGTTTAACAAATAATAATTTCTTTGATTATGGAAGTTTTTTAAAAATTACTAGCATGTATGATGCTCCTCTTATTGTTCTATAAAATAAAATTAATTGTTTCAATATGTGATGAGAATGTTTTCGAGAAAACTGTACCGAAAGATGAGACAATACTATTCTTCAGAAGAATCAATTTTCTGATCTAGCTAAAATTTTGCCCGTTGCCGCTCAATTTGCGCTATAAAAAGATACTCCCTAGCAGTAAGGAGTTGATAGATAATGTTTTAGTTGGAAAGGTTTTGCCCCAGACTATAAATAAAAGATGAGGTATTCAACCATAACAAACGAAGCGAGTTGCAAATTGATCAAGACAAGGCACAACAGAAAGATTTGTAATTTTCAACAAACATTTGAGACACTTCTAAAGCTCTGATTCGCAATAGATCGGTTTCATTTTGTGCAAAAAAGAGTTTCAGTTTAATCTAGTAAAATATTTAAAAAATTCATTTTTTGTTCCAAAAAACGGACGCGCCTCACTTAAGCAGCGATATAACAATAAATCAAAAAATGTCAGATAATGTTTAATTGTAAAGTAATTGTTCAATTTTCTTTTAGATATTCTCAAAATAAATACTTTCATAAAAATTGATGCTTTGGTTACGGCTAATAATTCTACATTTAATCATATATCTATCATTATATCTTCAGCCTTTTAGCCTTTAACATGAATGTTTTTTTCGTGTATTAAATCGATTATAAAAATATAAACTACAAAAATATGTTTAATTTCAAGAACTGCAAGTTAACTATAAAAAATAATAGTAATCTTAAAATTTATCTTATCTTATTTAACCTTTGCTAAGATGATAACGCTACAATTTTTAAAAAACTTCAGATATTTCAATAATATTCGATTTGTGAATAGATCTTCGTAAATATTTACAATATTGATTGAAAATACAATATTTCATCAGTTTTGTTTACACTCTAAAAAGTTGGTTGCTTACGATTAATCAATTTAATAAATTGATTATGTTTAATAAACGCACTACGAAAATTTGCTCGTCAAATACTTAGTTCAAATAGTTAAAAGTAATTATACATATGTGTTTTAGTTGGCCCTATTTAACCAAAGTAATTATTTAAATTGATTTATAATTTTTTATGTAAAGTGTGGCTGGGATGAAAAATTAGTGTCACAAGCGCGACACGAACCCACCACCTTCGGCTCAATACACCGTTGATCTAACCACAGCTATCATGATTTCGTTCACTTGGGACACCAACCCATCATCTCAACTTACAACGTTATGTATGAAGCAAGGTAAAAGCACTTATTATTGACATATTATCAATTATTGACACTCAAATTTTATAAAATAAGTGGTTTGGATCGCCTAGATCATTTCAGACTAGACGCCATTTCAAAGCCCTAATAATCAGTCTTCCTGCACGTCTCCGTTGAATGAAAGCGTATTTGTCATCACTTCCCGTCAGTCGCCGGCTCCTTACGGATTTCGTTAAGGGGACTTAAAATGTTCTCTATTTTTCTTGTCCTATGTTGATGAGTTTTAATACTTTTCCACTCATTTTGATACCTCTTCCTGATGATTTGAATATCATTTATAAACGACCCTTTCGATTAAAACAACAGCTCTTTGGGGTGTTAATAACTGGATCTTCAAAATGATCAGTTGCCTCCAGTTATTGTCAGAGTGTCAGTAACTGGGTATTTATCGGACTTTGGTTTGCAAGCTTACTAGAGCTATTTTTGCATTGGTAAGAGAATAACGAATGTTTTCCAAATTGATGAGCGTGAAAAACTAGTCAAAGTGTAGAAAACTAAAAGAGTTATTTCTTAATTATTTTAATATCGATTAAAATGTACAAAATAGTATCTAACAATTTTAAAATTGCTCGGGAAATTTTCTTTTCAGACTATTTTCTGATATTTAGCTGCGGGTTATAAGTGTAACAAATTTAAAAGTTTTCAGAACCTATAATTTTGAAATAAGAAATAAAGGTATAAATAAAAATATTTTGTTCAAAATAAAGTCAATAACTGGTTCCTTTCCCTGTCGAAAACCGTCTCACACGGGTCAAAAATAGATTAGTTTTCCCGAAGATAATTAGCTTTTACGTGTATGACAGGCCTTTCATAAAGGCCGCCAAAGCGACATAAACAATCAATAAGGCAGAGTTCCAACGATTGAGGAGGCAGACGAGAGGACGGCGGCAGGACTAAGGAGAGCCACGCTGGATTTGGAGTTACTCGGTCGCTTGCAACATTAGAAAGAAGATAAAGTAAAAATAAAAGTGTGTGACGTTATCAAGACAAAAAACTGCTACTGAAAAATTCTTGTGGAGTGGTGTTCATTCATAAAGGTTTGTTACACTATACTGTACAACTTGTCCAGAGAAAAGGAAACCAAAAAAATAACATTACACTTTACTTTTTATCATTACTTATTACTTTCTATCATAAGAAAATATTCCCTTTTCCTTACTAAATTAGTTCTAACCATTTATAAAATATATTCGATTCATTAATTTGTTATTAATTAATTAAGTGAAGAAGTTTTTATGATTAACAGGTACAGTCTTATTTTATTTTATTTTATTTTTTATAACCATATTAATCCCACAACGTTATAAATACACGCTACAACAACGTTATACGTGTCAACAATTGGTGAGAAAACATTTCATCGATATTCTGCTCAAAAAATTGAAAATTTTAGATTGCAAGGAAAACTTATAAGCAACATCAGCAAAATAGGCGTAGGCAAGCATTAAAAAACTTTTGAAACATAAGGATATGTTAATCAATAACACGTTCGTTAACGTATCAATAATTTGTGACTTTATGGATTATTATAATAATTATTGAATTATATGCACTTGGCCATTTCATGAGTCGCCGAGAATCGATTCCGATTACACAATATTTGAATATATGGCGAAAAGAAGAAATTTTAAAAAGTTTTAGCTTGTGATGATTAGTTGGTGCCCCGGCAGGTCGAAATCACGATAGCCTCGAGTAGAGCAGCGGCGTATTGAGCGGAGGTCGTGTGTTCAAATCCCGCTCGTGACACTAATTTTTCATCTCAGCCACATGATAAAAAAAAATTATAAATCACTTTATGTAATTTTACAATTAGCCATTACGAATTCTCTAATATGTTGATTTTATTTCGTCTTATGTTTTAGACCTTTACTGAATTATAATATATTACTAAGGAAAAGATAAATGTCGAACGTCATCATCGTAAATCAATACGATTTCGCCAGAAAGGTGCATCCTCCCGTTCTATTTCTTTTCTACTTCGTTGTCCAAATCTTTCTTTTTTCTCACAATTCTATGCTTTGCTCGCTTTTGAATTTTTCGTTCCTTGCCCTCGTCGCCCTGAGCTCTCGAGACTTTTTTTAACTTGCTCTGTAAATGAGACAAATGTAATTTTTACATCGCATACAAAAATTGAGTAATTTGAATAGTATATTGAATAATTTTCTTCATAGATCTTCCTGAGAATATAAATTTAGAAATTTAAACAACCAACTGGTAGTTTGGCCTTAAGGCCGGAATTACTTGTTCAACTTTTTTGCCAACAAAACATTTTCTTTTTTGTATAATTTTATACATAATATAATTTAATATATAGAGATATATTCGATTTAGGCTTGCCCCCTCATTCCACAAATTGAATAGAATACATAATACATAATTACATTTTCCACACACATTTGGGAAAATTAGTTCCTTTTATAGGGATAGCAAAAGGGACTTAGTAATCGTGGTAAATTTATCGTCCCTGGGAATACTAAATGAATTTCTGGTTTAATGAAAATTGTTTTTAAAAAACTATGCCTATGAGAAAGGAGTTTATTTTATTTGTATGTTTTATTCAAGCTTACATTTCATTTATATATTTATTATTCAAAAAACAGTTAAACGGAAATTTTGACAAGCAATCCTAGTTTGTACAACATTTGCGCTAATAACGCTTCAAATTTTAATCAAATTCAACGTCCCACATAAAATAGGCATATGCCGTCAAAATTGAGGCATTCCGTGTTTATAGGATTCAAGGCGTGCTTCCTTATAAATGCTCACCGACAAATTCCTCGAATATTTGTCAAGCAGGGCAATTTCTGACATAGAGAATCTTCCCAGCAGTATTCCTGTGTCGTCCTGTTATATTTCGTGGCAATTGATTTACAATAATTTCAGGACCGCTTGTCATAACGAAAACTGTACTATATGTAAACATCGGCTTCCAGTGAATTTCATTATCTCATTGAAGATCCTTCCAGCGGAACATCGAATCAATTTGATACTATGATTATGAGGTTATTTAAATCACATTTGCCAAGAGGTAAAAAGTTGGCAAGCCCTCAGCTCCACATTTCCCGGTACGATGAACATTATGCGGTATGAATACCTTTCTCGGATTAGTGGAACAACTTTCTTATTCCGATCCGTTTATACCACTATATCCTTTCAAATAAACAAAACTGCCGGAAAAGAATCACCAGTGGCTCGTATGATTTTTATTGAAATTGTAAAGAACGTTCTTCGGAGTACATATCCGTTTTCTGTACAGAATGAAGCACAACTCTATAAATAATTTGCCTTAAAATATTTTTTGAATTAGATGTAACGCAGTTAAATATTTTTATGACATTTTTTACAAGCGCACACAATAAACGAAGTGAATGGACGAAGTCACTCTTCACCCATCTTAATATACTTTTTATTGATATATGGTAATTGATATAGGAATAAGAAAAAAATAATTAATAAAAATAAATGTATAAATAGATAAATGATTGAGGGATAGGATACGTATACCGCCCATACATCAATCCAAACGTCTATAATTATACGCATCACCATATTCAGGTATTCCATCTGATGGACCCAAACAGATTCTGCTCATTCATCCAGTTTTCACCGTCATACTGTACGTTAATATTTCGCCTGTTTTCAATGTTAGAATTTGTTGTTTTATATTTTTGTAATATAATAAGTAATGTAATATAAATTTTTAATCTATTGAGCCTCGTTAGGCTGCATATTGGTGACATGTGTTTTTTTAAATGCTCTGTATTCTACATTTCACGTTTTCTACTATATTCGACTAATGTAGCCGGATTTTGTGAAGATCTACTACAGAAATGATCCTGTAGAAGTATGATCTTATTTTCTAATTTATTATATTAATATACTAAATGTTGAATGATACAACCTGTTACAATTTAATTTAGGAAGAGCCAATGTTTGTTGTTATTCCAACCAATAAATGCTTTGGTCATCCATTGTATCGAAACAGGCTAATTAATGTTTCATGGAAACACTGTTTGTGTGGAGGAGGATAATACAATTCGTAAATCTGTCAATCACGTAATTATTATCTGTTCAAGACCATTTAAACTGAAACTCGTGAATTAACTAAAATCCGCCTCAGCCAAGTGTTGGTAAATAGAATCGATCGTTTTTGTTTACAAACAAAATATGAAGTAGTATACACTGACTCAACTTTAAATATTCGTTCCGTGTTAAAACATTCTTTGACATTGTTAATTTCAACGTAAAAATCGAATGGTATTTATTTTAACCAGGCTGGAATACCGTGCATTTAAATAACGATAATTCTGTCTGCTACCTTTGACATTTGGTAGTATTGCACTAATACGATTCGCTTGTATGCCCTTCGGCACGGCTACTGAAAAAGCCCACATTGTTACACGGGAAAAAATATAATTAACGGGGAAAAGCATCGGCAGTTTTTCCCGATATTGAACGCAGATTAGATTTACGGTAGGCGAACGAGGGATCTGTTAAAGTTTTTTGCTGCAACAGTAAAGGATTAATCCAATTAGGCCGTGAGAAGAAGTAATAGTTCAACAATTTTTGAAAATTTTCTCAACAATAATAAATCAAGGGACCCGATGTCAAAAAATCCACTAAATATCAAGGTCTACAGCCAAGAAAATCTTCCCCCATTTCACGAAAGAGACCGCGGTGCCAATTTAACACATTACATACTCTCAGTTTCAAAATATTTTCTTAAAACGACGGTTTTCTTAACGAGAAAACTTTTGTCCCCTAGAGCGTTTTATTTGATTTTTCCCCTAGTTGCTGGCTTTCCTTTAATGCATTTTTTATTATCAGGTTTTAATTAAACACCTTAAAAGAGATTTTGTTTTATTTTAACAATTTTGCAGGTCAATGGTGTCTTTGTTCACAGAGATCAAAGATGTCTCAAGAAACAAAAGAAACAGACAAAATCTACTAAGAACTGAAAGCAGAAACCGGCATTTCGATAAAACATTGTCAGTATTAATAAATGTTTCATAAATATTTGATCATTTTTGTTTAAATATTTTGAACTGGGATTCTCGAGTAATTATTGTTATTTGTCTTTTCAATTTTTATTTTGTTATAATTATTTATTTTTCTAGCAAAACATTACGCTATTTTCTCACCTTTCTTGTTCTTTGATGGTTTATAAGCATTATATTTTTTCCAACTGTAAAATGTAAAATTTGATTCTCTCAAAACATTCTCCTTCTTCTCTCTCTCTCTCTCTCTCTCTCTCTCTCTCTCTCTCTCTCTCTCTCTCTCTTTCTTTCTCATTTTTCNCTCTCTCTCTCTCTCTCTCTCTCTCTCTCTCTCTCTCTCTCTCTCTCTCTCTCTCATTCTCAACTCAATTTACGTTTCCAATAGTCCTCCCCTATGTTAATTAAAACACAAATATTCGAAAATCTCCACTAAATTATGTTGATTTTAATTTGAGCATTTTATTCATCTGAATTTGAAGAAAAGTCAAGACAAAAAGACAAAAAACTGGAAATAAAAAAATGTCTCCAAACTATAAGAACAAAAATATTAGCAACGTGATGAAAATACTTCTTCAAAAGTATATACAAGTGGAACGGAAGAGTTGTTGTGTTGGATGAGTTAATTGTTTTATATAAGTTATTAATTCAAATCTTATATTAAATTGTCCAAAATATCAGTTTGATAAATTTTTCTTGTACATTATTACGATAGAGTAAATTGCTAGGCTTAACTTTATAAAGAAATGTTATCTTCTCTCGAAAATCGAAAGCAATTCTTCCTACACCACAGACCAACTTGAAATAGGTTCAGATTAAACCCAAGTTGGGGTGGTATTTTTAAGAAAAATTATTCCCAAGGAGGAAGAACTGCGTTTTACCAGAGACTTTGTGACGTGAATAATTCCGAGCCCAGAGCCGCGTCGGTGAATACAGAAAAGAAAATTTGGATAATGATTCCAGGAAAGTTTGAAAATCTCATGCACATTCACATCTAATACGGAATAAAGTTTGGGTAGAAATGTTGGAAGTTGGGGCTGGTAAGGTCCAGACAGAGATGAAAGGGGCAGGAAACATAGGAAAAGTTCACCTCGTTTTTCGTTATTGAGTGTTTTGCGACGAGTGTTTTAATGACTGGAAAATTCATTGTTCAGTTTTCGTTCAACCTTTCTATAAATAATTATCCATATAGGGTTTAGCATAACCGATGGTAATTATATCAGAACAAAAGCTCAATAATTTATGAATTTTCTCATCTTTAGAAAAGAGGTTTAAGTTCAATTAAAACAATCCTTTTTAATTCTTAATCTATACAACAAGGGAACCCTTCAAATTTTGATTAGTAAATTAAATTAAATATAAACAAAGTTTTGCCCCAATTCCGTCGTATTCTTCAGTGCTATGGCTGTTAAAAGAAAATCTTCTCATTTTAGGCCTCTTTTTGAAAATCTAGTATGTCGGGTCCGCCAGTATAGGGTTATCTTACGGTACGACGGGGAGGTGGAGGGCAAAAAATTCTTAATCTATGCAATTGATTTAAAAGTTGTGACATGTCCCACCTGAATAATCACAGCTTTTAATGACGTAATTGATGTGTTACTCATATTATGGATCTCTACAAGAAGCGGTGCTATTTCACCTGGAGCGAATCCTCTCCTTTTCAACTCCGCCGATGCGACGATTGTGCCTCTGGGACAGCAGAACAGGCAGGAATTTGTCGTCTTCTGCTCTTCGCAGCCACTCTGCAAATCAATAAATTCAATTTTAATCGTGTGCGCTGTATGAAATAGATACGATAGGAGGAAAGCGATAACGGATACGTGCCTGTGGGAAATTAATACCGGGATAATTTTCCACAATGTAAACATCGTATGGCATTAACTCATACATTTCAACCGATCCTGTTACCACCAATTTCTATAGTTTCCGTATGAGAATGTCAGGTACTAAACTCATTACTCAAGTTAATTGTACTCTGGAGATTTTAAAAGCCCATATGCTAGTAAATAACGAAAAATGAGTTTAAAAAAATACAAGATTTTATAATACAAATACATTACTGAGCTTCTCCGTTTATAAGAATTTGTAAGCTATTTTTAAAAATTTGAACTTATTATGTAAAGATTTTGGAGGATCTATGGGTCTACTCATATAAGATTGAAATGGGCCAACATTTTGTCAGGCAAACTTTCTAGAAACATCCCCATTAGTATTAAATTGTTTTCATCCATTTATCATCCCTTCAACAACTGTTAACGGATTGTTTAAAGATAACGCAGTCGGCTGGGAAGGTGGATAAAAAAAGATTCAGATTGGTCTCACAGCTCTAACACAATTATAGTGCCAGCGACCAGCTCCAAGGTTTTCAAAATATTTACGCAACATACAGTCATGTAAAGAAAATTAAAAGATAATAATAAAAAATAAAATACTACGTCAAATTTATATCATAAGGTACGAAAATATCAAAAAGCGTAACTAGATAATATCTCCTTCCAAGACATAAAACTGAATAGTGAATCAAGGGAACGTATTGTTCCAGTTAAACAGATAAAAAATTAAACTGCTAATATTTAATGTGGTAGTGAATTTCACTGTTATTAAATCATTTTGATATTAAATTTGTTTGAATAAATTCTCTTCTGAACGGAATGTGGAGCATGATTGCAAATAGGAAAACCCTGGGTGGACAAGGGAAATGAAAATAGATTTGTCATCACATGACTAATAGAACGGAAAACACGATTTTTCGCAGAAATAAGTTGGAAACTAAAATTCAACCAAAGCAATAATAAAATTATGGTTTTTTTATAGAACTTGATATAAAAAAATAAAATTTTCTAAGCCAGAACTGGTTTGGTAAAATTTCGACACAATAGACGAAACTTTAAACGCTTTCTAAATTAGGAAGGAAAAACCCTAAACGAGTTCAGAAAAACTTGTTAGGTTGAAATTGAACTTTTTCATACTCAAAAATATGGCCGAAAAGTTATTGGTTTAAACGGAACTTTAATCCAAGGGCCTTCAGTCCCTTTGAGTGCAATCAATCGTTATGGAAATGAGAACGATACATCGCATTATCACAATTTCTGTCAGAACTGGCCGAAACGTATGATCACAGCGGTTCAATTCAACCTCGAACCCTTGTGTAATCAAAACGCATAAAATGAACAGCTAACTCTTCGTAAAAATTAATCAAAAAACCCACAATTACAAATTGTGATTGTCACAAAGATTACTCGAAATGTAAACAAACCAAAAGGATATATACATTACAAATTTACAATTACTATATAAAGAGATATTGTATGTTTTAAAGTTAGTTATAGATATAAACATGGGTCAATGCATTTCTTTTTGGTACGCAAAAATTTTATTATACACTAAAAAATTAGTGTAAACAAAATACATTAAACGTAGTCCAAGCTCTTTCTAAAAAATTATTTTAAAAAATCTCGATTTCAAGTTTAAAAATGTAACTCCTTGTAGTCCTTCATATCCCATACAGTTATTATATATTATTTATACGTATTGGGTCTACAGAATGATGTTTGGTCGTTTTCGGTTAATCTGGTCAGCTTTTTCACCATTTTTGATTCTGGATTTGCATTTTTGTGCTTGTGCTGTTTTTGTCTAGTGGGTTAGATTTGTCGATGTTTGTCTCAGGAGTTTTCTAATTGTTATTGTTGGGTGGTGCCTGCGGTTAGGGCGTCCGACTCGTATTTGCTACGCTAGAGGTTCTGGGTTCGAATCTCCAATCCGCCGTATCCCATGAAAATTTAATTAGAATAGTATTTATGTATATTTTTTTTAATGGTTTGCACCTCTCATTCGCTACAGCGAATAAGTAGATTAATGTTAAGCCATCCTGAATGACAGGAAATATTGCCTGGTTTGATAAATATATTGGTGACTTTATGTCTTCTATCACTTTCTCTGTGCCAGTATGGTTCAAGTCTCTTTTTTCGGGTATCATTTTGGTTTTATGTTCGGATTGTGTTTATTAATTTTGTCTATGATGTAACCTGTTTGTAGTATGTTTTTTAATGTTTTTAGTTCGGTTTAGTACTTCTCATTTGTTAGTAGTTTTAATCCTGTGAGGGACGTCTGAGCCAACACTAATGATTTATCAGTTCCCGTGTGTTTTCTGAATATGTTGAAATTTAGTCTGTAGTCATATTTTATGTTTCTTAGGTTAAGGAAGAGGAAATACGACCCTAATTTGACTATCTATATAACGTAATTCGCTAATTATTTTCTCTTCCCTATAGTTCTTCATAAAAAGGCAGGACTGCGTGAGGCTAAAAAGGCCCTTGTTAAAAATTTACTTATGACAATCGTCAATTTTATTATATAACAAATAATAATAATATTGTGCTAGTGTAATAAATGAAAGATATTAAAACACTTTTCTCATTAAAACCTATAAAACGATGGCCAACCACATTCTACACAGATCAAAAAAATGTCAATTACAACCTTAAGATTACATTTAAAAAATTGATTCTTTTTCTAACTAAATTTTTGCGTCTACTGCTAGGCTAATAAATATTGTTAATTTCTTAATTATGATACGTAACTATTGTCACTTTTGATTCATTTGCGGTTGAAAGCACGACTAAACGATATTAATGTCCACGCCATTTAATAACTTTTTTAGACAGATAGAATAACGATATTGTGATGGGTTAAACAAAATCAAAGTAATTTAAAAACTTGTGTATTCAAAATACTCAAAATATAGATAAAACTCTTACTAAAAATAAATTAAAAAACAAGAATACAAGTTCAAAAATGCGAAACGTAAGCCAAATCTCACCATAACAATGAAACACAGCTATTTAACAACTTCTCAGTAGAATTAAAAATAAAACGTGTATTGAGCACATAATAAATAAATGTGTGGTGATTAGTGACCGTTAATTGATAATTATTTAGAAATCGTGAGATGCGGTCTGGTGTGATGTAGGTTTCAGAAAAACATTTTCTTTATCGTGCCAACGTTTCGATCTTTATTGAGATCATCTTTAGGACCTGGGATTTACAAACATTATTTACATTTAACAAATACATTTAGGATGTGGAAAAGTGAATTTATACAATGCAAAATATATTTTTTTTTATATTCAATCAAAGTATTTCTACTCACTCAAAATGTTTGTCTTCTGTGTAATGCCATTCTTGCGGGTCGTGTTGAGAGTGCCAGTGAGATTTTGCTGTTTTATGTTTATATACGTTGGATTTCGAAGGAGTGGGGAAGGAAGTCGGTATATACCGACTTATGCTATACCGAACACAGAAGAAAAACACTTTGAGTGATTAGAAATACTTAGATTGAATATGAAAAATATATTTTGCATTGTATAAATTCACTTTTCCACATCCTAAATGTATTTGTTAAATGTAAACAATGTTTGTAAATCCCAGGCCCTGAAGATGATCTCAATAAAGATCGAAACGTTGGCACGATAAAGAAAATGTTTTTCTGAAAGCTACATCACACCAGACCGCATCTCACGATTTCTGAATAATAATAAATAAATTATTGATGTTCTCATTGTTTTGTTTGAGGCGAGATAATAGAAGAATATTTCTGTTCTGCAAAAATTTTATTAGAGGAAAATCACTATAATGTTGTTCTGGTTTTGATTAACAAAAATATATATTTAAAAAACAATGGGATTTACATAAATGTAAATGTAAATGTGTAACATGTAAATCCGAGGCCCTGAAGATGATCTAAATAAAGATCGAAACATTGGCACAATAAAGAAAATGTTTAACTAAACCTACATCACACAAGACCGCATCTCACGATATCGAAATAATCATTAATTAGCGGTCACTAAATACTACACACAAACATCACCAATGTGTAGTTTAACGACCGGTGGTTCATAAGAAATTGAAATAGGCGAGGACCGGTCAGATTAAATATATTTCAGAAAAACACCTTTTTCACTTAATTTCCGACGTTTCTATCTTTATTCGGGTCATCTTCTAGGCCTGATTAAATCACAAACAGATAGTGATTGGGAAATTTGTTTAAAACATTATACAAGAAAAATGTAACTGATTATATTTATTAGGTTTCGTAGTCCGCTTTACCAAATAATTTTTTTTTAATTAATCTTTAATTAAGGTTTTGGTTGAGATAAAAAAAGTCAGTGTCACAAGCGGGATTCGAACCCACGACCTCAAGGTGGGAAGTTAGTGTCCGAGCGAATCGAAGTCAGTTCAAGTGGTAGAGCAGCGACGTATTTAGCCAAAGGTCGTGGGTTCGAATCCCGCTTGTGACACTGCATTTTTTTAACCAAAACCTTAATTAAATGTTAATTAATTGGTAAGTGATTATGGTAATATAAAGATGAATTTTAGGTTTAATAATAGTATTAAAAGTATGCACTTACAACACATAACACTACAGGATTAACACTGCACTTTATGTATGATTACGTTGACTAAACAAAAATTCATCTTTATATTAACGTTTACATCTACATCATTAACATTTTTTCTATAACTTTTTAAACAAATTTCTCAACGAACACGTTTGTCATTTAATCAGGCCTTGAAGATGGCCCGAATAAATGTCGAAACATGGTCACTTAAATTAAATATGTGTTTTTCGAAAATACATCTAATCTCACTACTCCCTACTACTTCAACCACTTGATTGATATCAACTATCTTCTAAATATTTTTATTTATTTAATTATTTTGTCCAGAGTAATGTTAACTCCACGACAATATAAGTTAATTAAAGACCAACTAAAAGTTACTTTTAATTTAATATAGAAGCGAGTAAAACTGGTTTACGAATATCATAAAAAGCGCGGTTTAAATCCGTTTAACAGGAATTTTTCACTAATTCCAAAAAGTGAAATGATAAAAGGAGTAACGGTATTTCCACTTTACGCAATTAACATATCACTTTGATCAAGTCAGACCGTATGGCGACGTAGCTGTGCGGGAGTGTAAACAGCATTAACCCCGTTTGTTGTCATTTTTTTCACTCAAGGGGAAAACATGTTACACGCTTAGGGGGAAATGGTCACAACATAATTATGACACAACCGTTGACACATCCAGTTTATTTACAAACTGTACCTAAAAATTACTCTTTAAAACATGAGTGTGGACTTGTGCGTGCCGGGTGTATGGGCTTCAGTGAGTCTGAATTTGTAAAGAAACATAAGTAGTTAAATTATTTTTAATTTTTTTTCAATTGCTATACTTATGTATGAAAGTAGGAATAAATATCAATAAAAATATGAGAAAACGTGAAAATTTTAAAAATAAAGATGTTTTCAAGGCACTGTATTAAGTCTTTCTTTTTCAAAACTTAAATTTAATAGTGTATTTTGGTCATCCAATTGCAGCAAACATATACATAAGTAAAAATATGTATGTGTATGTATATATAGGTCAAAATTTGTTCCGTAGTTACTTAATTAAAATTAAATTTGTTAGAGAACGATACCTAATTCTTAAAGAAATTAATTTATTAACGTTTGCTAATAGGAGAACCATGTTAGATATGTAGTTTTTATTTAAATTAATAACTAGCAACATTGATACCGCCAGCTTTTATAATCTATTAATATAAATGAAGATCTTATAAAGCTTGGCTTCAACTAATTATATAACACACCTTGTAATAGATTGATGATGGAAAGAAAGAAATTAGATTTCGATTGGGTTCATGAAATTTTGTCAAAGCTAAAAAAATAAATAGAAAACAATAATAAATATAAATTATTCGAAGATTGTGAGATGCGGTCTGATGTGACGTAGGTTTTAGAAAAACATTTTCTTTATTGTGCTAACGTTTCGATCTTTATTAAAATCATCTTCAGGGCTCAAAGTGTTTGTTTTCTTCATAATTGTGTCATACTTTTGTGTTGAGAGTAGTTAGTAGCAGTTTTGTGACTCTCAAAACACAGACACAAAAGAATGACACACTTATACAGAAATCAAACACTTTGAGCCCTGAAGATGATCTCAATAAAGATCGAAACGTTGGCAGGATAAAGAAAATGTTTTTTCTAAAGCCTACGTTACACCAAACCGCATCTCACGATCTCAGAATAATCACTGACTATCGGTCACTAAGCACTACACAAAAATAAATATAAAAACATTGTGATGTGTTCAAAATGTTCTAAATTCTATAAATTAAAGAGTAAATTATTACAATTAAATAAGGTTTTTAGTTGAGAAACCTTTTAAAAGGAGGGAAAATTCAAAAGGTGGGGTTGAGATGGGGAGTTGATGTCCGAGTGGATCGAGGTCACGATAGCTCAAGTGGTAGAGCAGCGGCGTATCTACACTAAGATCGTGGGTTCGAATCCCGCTCGTGCCATTGAATTTTTTTATCTCAACTAAAAACCTTAATTAATTGTAATATATTAATTGGTCAAGCGGACCACAAAATTAGTGAATTTAAGTAGTAAATTATATACATTTTATAATAATTGTGTACTCGGTTTATTATTTGAATGACGACCAAAATCACAAAAAAAATATAATAAAAGTAGTTTCCTTCTAAACCAAAATTTATTAAAATAATGTTTTATTTTGTAATCTTTTTAACAATGATTTTTCCCACGTACAAAGATTGTCCTTTTGTTTATAAGAAAAAAGTGTTTAATTTTCTTTCAAGCAAATAGTATCAGGTTTATGGGATTTTTTTAAACAAAATGTATTTCCTAAAACCTAATTCCGTTTAACTCTGCAAGGCAAGATGGAGACACCGTCAAATGCAGAGAAGATTAAACTTTGCTCCAAGGTCATCCACCTCCAAGTTTGTCCGTCTCTGCCGGTAGCCCAAACCTTCGGTGTTCGTATCTACTGCCGGCGTCCTGAAAGAATTATTGCAGGGCGATGACCTAAGTTAATAAATAGATAAGCCATTGAAAGACAACGCCAAGGAGCCCAATATTTTTCCATGCAAAAATTTTTAACAGGGAGAGGGTCGGTGTCACGGGCATAGTCCAGCCTAGCGGTGAGCATCAATTATAAAAACAACGATGGTGACCATCCATTGATCTTCAGAACCTCACCATCGATGGTGGTACGATCATCAACTCTATAGTCTACACATCATTGGTTTTTTTGAGAACTCATTGCTCAAACCACAAATTATTTTCATATGGATACGTTACTTTTATGTGCCACTTTAGAAACATAAGCTAATTTTTCAACTTCCCCAGTTCTGAACCTTTATTAGCAACTTAATTAATAAAAATTATGTTTATTTTTTAATAACATTTATTAGGAATTATTTTTGCTTTTTGTTTCATTTATAGTTATATATCTCCCTTTTAAATAAAAGATGTCTATTGTTAAAGAATTTTGTGCCTGTGAATTTTATTCAAAATATCTCCCTGTTTTTCTTCGATTACTTAGGAAAACATCCAAATCCACCCAAGCCCAATTCCCGTCCCTTGCTTAAAACAAGGTAAAGATTTAACATGTACATAACTAAAATCAATTATATTCTTAATTTATTAGAATTAATGTATCCAAATGTTACAACGAAACACTACCACATCTTCTCCGGAACGCAATTTAAAAAACGTAGCTTTAAAGCCAATTTATCCTCTAAGCGATTTCTGGTTTTCGAAATAATCTGTCAAGCTTTGGAAAATAATCGTTCAGAGGGAACAGATGTGCCACTAAGGCAACAAATTGAACAACTCTTGACAGCTTCTGATAGGTCACTTTCAAATGAGAAGAATATTGGCCATTCCCTATTCACAAAACTGGAAAGGAAACGAAGGTCAACAAACATCGAACATCATGCTCATCCCAAGTCCCAAGCCTAGAAGAGGCTTTTGACACGGCTGGGCCGACCTCAATAGAATGGGATGCTGAGCGAGGTCGGAGCCACAATCGTAAATACTTCAACGGTCACATTTTTCTGGCTAGGCTTGTCTCACCCTTGTCCAATGTCCATTGGCTAAATAAATTGTTACTGATATTCAAATAAAAGGGAAATTATTTAGGTAGAACGGCTGGCGTTCCCCAATGTGGGAACCCTGACAAAATAATTCATTGGTTAATTGATTTAATTAATTGTAACCATTCAAGTTGCTCGTTCGACTAATTTGTAAACTTGAGCCTATCATTGAATAAAAAAGCATCGGTCTCAACTAAGTCACTCTGACACGTTTAATTCGCCAAGTTGAAGGCCCTTTGAGAGTCGAATGTCCCTTCAAGTAATAGACTTGTAGAATTTACCGACAGGACTTTCCACGATGGGAAAGCGATTTTTCCAATTACCTCCGCTTTCGCCTCTGTGTTTATATCGGCGACGTTAGTGACGCTGAAGTAGACCCGCCTCGTATCCTTTATCTTCCATCGCTGCAGGGTCGATTCGCAGTAGTATCGGACGTAGCCGAAACGGCCGTTGAACGATGCCGGCAGCCCGGTCGGCAGTGTGAACTGAAAGGGGAACACGTGCGATCCCTCCCACAGTTGCTCTCTGTAACCTAAAATATTAAGGGAATAAGTGCTCGGTTTGTATCCTCTTTAGAGAGAACAAACACAATAGAATTGGACTTGAATCGTAAAAAAACTAGACATGCAGGTTAAACGAAACAGGAGAAATATAAAACAAGAAGTTTCCAACTCACACTAAATTGAGTGACTTTTAAATACATGCATTACATTGTTAAATTTCTCTGTGATCAGTCTGAGGTGTGATAAACTTGTAGTTTTTTCGTTTTCAATCATTTGGTCTTCTTATCAATGGTATTTCAATCTTTTGAACACATTTCGGCTTTCACATTTTCAGTCGTGAGACGTAATGTATCCAAAATTAACATTTTTTAATGTTTTTTATTCCTACGAATATAGCAGTATGATTATTTACAAAGCATAGTACAGGCATGGATCACAATCCTTCTCCGGGAAATCGTTGTTAAGAGAAAAAAGTAACAATGAATGAATAATAATAAAGAGATAAGAATTAAAGCGAGGTTATAACATTATTCGCTATATGCTAGCACACACTCCAAAAAGGTTAACAACACACTCCATTACCTTGTGTTCCGGAGACCAACAGAATAGAACCAAGGTCCTGTTCCATTATTCCATGCACCACTATTCTGGCAGAGATTTTTGCCTGCTTTAATCACTCTAATTTGTGCAAAGTAAACGTGTCGGTCTACCTCGACACACAGTGAAGAGCACCACGGTAGGATATAGCCGGCGACAGAAGACCAACACGCTGCGGTGTTATCCGACGGCGATATGGTCTCCGCCGCCACCGACAGGACATCCCGCGTCATGCCAGTGTCACAAACGGTGTACCGACAACGCGGGTCGCAGAACCAACTACGAGCTTTTTAAACGCAACAACTTTAATATACGCTATTGGAGCTGGAATTACCGCGGCTGCTGGCACCAGACTTGCCCTCCAATAGATTTTTGTTAAAGGATTTAGAGTGTACTCATTCCGATTACGAGGCCTCATATCGAGTCCCGTATCGTTATTTTTGTCACTGCCTCCCCGTTCCGGGAGTGGGTAATTTGCGTGCCTGCTGCCTTCCTTGGATGTGGTAGCCGTTTCTCAGGCTCCCTCTCCGGAATCGAACAAAAATACTTATAACAGAGAACAAACAGAGGGGAAAAGTCTTAATCGTCAACCAAAAAAATCTGATATAATCAAATCATATAATATATAAAGGAAAATGGAGTGAATGGATTGGAGGGGTCAAAAATTGAATTCCACAATTAGGTCCAATATTTCCAGGCGTGGCGGACGTACTGCGTGAGCGCCCGTGCATCTGAGCCTAACAGATTTACCAGAGTGTTTCTAGACAGGATAAAAGATCCCAAATGCGAAACCTCATCTCGCCCAATATTGTACATTCAGCCATAAAATGCAGTGTCGTTTCCACAGATTGTGAATTGCAAAGGGCTCATAAACCCTCCTTGCCCCTCAACCAAAGTGCAGAGTTCAAGTTAAGGGCCTAGCAATGGGCTTTTAATAGTCATCTTAAGTTTGATAGACTAAGGGAATTAAGGTTCTATCTCTTTCTCTGTGGATTAAGTAAGGTGTGGGGTTGTGACAAGTTTTTAAATAAGGAAAAGTTAAGCTCGGAGTAAGCAATCGTCCCGATGCCGTTCCTTGAATCTAGATAGCAGACCTGGAAAAAAGAGCTGGCCAATCAGCAAGGTTTTCGTACGTGGGATAGGTTACTTCAAATCTTTGAAAGAGCGTAAGCCATTGGGCATACCAGGCGGTCTTATTCCTGATGACTTCGATCGCAGATATGCCAATTTGATTTAAGGGGAATTCAAAATTCAATTAGCAATTAATTAATTACCTTAGACCTAAGAAATATAACTAATATAGCTTGATTAATTAATTACAATTTTTATTTAAACCGATATCTTTTCATACAGGGTGACACAAGAACAATTAGAACGGCTGCGCCTCCCAAAAGAATAGCTAAACTCCAAAAATATTTATTTTCGTTTGAACAACATTGAAAATATGAAATCCCCTCCCCATTATTTGAATTGAAATATCTCCTGAAACTCAGTACATTTATGTACAGTCATTAGATATATATTTTAAACAATCTAGTTCTTAAAAACGTACCAAAATTTGGAAGATCTCTTCACTGCGTCATTAAAACAATATTTAGACCGCTTATTTTAGATCCTTGGAAAAACTATAGGGTGACCATTGAAACCTTTTTTCTATAAGACCTCGTTTAAGAGATAAGTGGGTGTCGCATTTATAATCTGCATCAAGGCTATATTTTATTACATAAATAATCTGGATTTAAAGGTTGTACATATTTATTTTTAAAAATATTAATTTTGTAGCTTGTTCGTTTGCGGGCATATTGGACTGTAAACCTTGTTGTATTGGTCTGAAGGGCGCGTTTCATCTTCCCGCCATCTTCAGTAGTGGGCCCTAGATGCCGACAGGCGGGGATGATGAGAAGCAGGTGGCGTGGGTAGCAACGCAAAAACCAGCAACCGCCATCAGCAAAATCATTTTGGTGAACGGAAACATAAAAACGACTGCAGAGAAATTGGATATGGACACATACATTTAACCTTTATGGAGTAAAGAAAATGGAAAATAAAGTAACACAGACTAATTGAAAAATTGTGAGATTCTGAAATTCATCAAACCAACCAAAACAAGAATAAGCAAACCAAATTGATCGAAAATTATAAAAACATAGGATTTATCCGTCGCTTTCTTTATTTTATTTAGAAATAGATTTTCACAACTTACGTACTTTATATCAAAGAAATAATTGCATAAATAATTAATTGGTTGGTTTATTTAATTAATTATAACTATTTAAGTAGGCAAAGCGTTTCGAACTAATTTGTAAGGCTGTTTTCTCACACGAGTAGATCACACAGAGAAATCTGAAATTAAATTCAATGTATTGAATCTTTGATTATTCTACGTAATTTAATAATTTCTCTCTCTCTCTCTCATTCTCTCTCTCTCTCTCTCTCTCTCTCTCTCTCTCTCTTTCTCTCTCTCACTCTCTCTCTCCCACACACATACACACACGCACACGCACACACACACACACACACATTTATCACATGTTTATCTGTCTATTCGTTTTAACTCACTACTATACTTGTGCCCATACAGGTACTCGTTGTGGAAGAAATATCTTTCCTGAGAACAAAGTTTAGATTTGGCAATTTGTTTGGAGGCTTTCTTTGTTTTGTGCGGCGTGGATGGTATTTCTTTGCTCCCTTGAACCCAACCCTGAGCTGCTTCAATTTTCCCTTGTTCATTCGATACTGGTGTACTGAAAACAATTAATACTGTAAATAAGTATTATTTGTATTTTTTAATGTATATTGAAACGATATGGCTAAATTTTACTAGATAAAACAATTAAAGGTATGAAAGTTGAAATACTTTCATTTCAATAAATATTATTTATAATAAAAGATGCTTTATGAATCAACTATTGACAATAATTCATATAATAAATAAGCACACATGAGCATTTCAGTGAGGTTAAATAATTCAAACATTTAGTCAGGTTCAAACATTTAACTGCTGCGGTTCATTTTGAGTGAATATTTATACAGCAAGTAAATAAATGTTTTTCTATCCATATTAGTATTTGTTTTCATATTCATTCGTTATTAAAAATCCCTCACGGGAAAAATTTACAAACGTATTTACATTTTGTTAGTTACATTTTTGCGTGGTTTCTTTGGTCCTTTGCTGTCTACCAGTTCGTCCGGAACACTCACACAAGCCTCACCGATGAACTTTACAGTCACGGCTGAAAAGATATAAATGAAATGAAATAACGAGCATTTTAACTATATGCAAAAAGAAATGTCAGGGTTATTCCTACATCAAAGGTAATAACATTTTTTAATTAAGTACAATATTTTTAATATTTCTTTAAACTGAAATAGATATCATCTGAACGGAAATCAACATTAAGACTAGAAAAAATTAATTGATACTTTGCAGATGTTGGTGATCCCAATAACATATTTCTTATAATTATTGTCCATTAGCTAAATTTGAGAAATATTGCAAGTAGTTAACCATTTTAACATTTTAATTATTTCACTTAAAACATTATCTAAATGTACAAAATATATTTTATCAACTAAATCTCGGCTGAATAGATACCTTACTTGTAACATACATTTCCCATAAAAGAAATCGTAAACACGCTGAGATTTTCGTATTTTACGATAATATTTGGTTTTACATAAATCAATAAGGTTCAGAAGTACAAAATAAACAATTTTATTTTTTAAACTGAAAAAAATGTTTCATTACGTTATCGAGATTTTCTTCTTAATACTTGAATATGGCGCAAAACATGCAGAAACGTCGTTACAAAATAAAAAAAAATACCTACACAATTTTAACATCTTTTGGTGCATTTTTTGTACAAGCGCCTCGAAGGAATTTTATAATGAATTAATTATACTTATTTTACTAACCCTGAACGGCGAGACTGCTCTCCAAATTGACAATTACATTCCCTTTCACGTCATCACCTGAGAAGTAAACACGATCTGGCTCCTCCAGGATCAATTCCAGTTTGTACATTGTCCATTAACTGAAAAGGCCAAACAGATAATCCATTAAATGGACAATAGTATAACAGAAGGGTCGATAATTATTTTCAATGGTGTTTGCCTGCGCCTGTCAACCCTGTGCTATCGTTTCGAATTAAAAGATATTATCCAGTTAAAAGCGTTTTCATAATATCCAGATGATAGTATCTTATGTCCAACTTTTTTCATTTATTTTTTTTAACAATGAAAAATTAAAAATTTAATTGTAACATTGAAGAATACTAATATGTAATGAAGCGCCTGTATATTTTTTCATGGGCGTAGAAATAAATAAGTTTCAACATAAACTTACTTATTAAAACTTACATAATAAGATTAAATCAAACATAAGAAATAAATCGATATAGTCAATTTCATGTTTCATGTCATGATGGCTTTTGCTATCAGCCAACCTTATTTTATATTAATTATTTACTTTATGGAAATTTGTTATTATTTATTTGACTTGTTTTTAGGGTAGTTTTTGTAAGAGGTTTATAGAAATTTGATGGAGGGTGGGCCTTTCACGTGGTGCCCAACCGGCTGTGGCCACTAACCTGTTTACCCTATAATTAATGGAAAAATCTCTACTGATGAATAATCCTGACGAAAAGTTATGACGTACATATATAAGACATTCTGTTTATAAAACGATATCAATCGCAGGTTTGATAGAAGGTCTAAGTTTCATGAATTTACTTCCCTTTAATTCAAGAGTAAGTATTTTAGAAATTTGTTTTAAAGCATGGTTGTGTATATGCTTGTCTGCATAGGCAAATTGATTGGTATATGCATGGATATGTTAATAAGCAGCCAAAGCCCGCGTCTGCGTCCGGCATGAAGAAAGATTTAAACTTATATAAATTAGTATTCAGTAATCAGTAATATTAATAAACTAAAAAAAGGTAGTAAAAAAGAACAGAGAAAGTTAATGAAGGATCATATTATGAAGAGGAAGTAAGTAGATGGTTGGTTTTATCAGAGAATTTTTTTTCAACAATAAGCTAATTTAAAGAAATACATAAAATTTACAACTAAGGTCTTGACAGATTGGAATGAAAAATGAAAAAGTAAATCTAATGATATTTTGTTTGTTCATGATGAGAGTTCATTAGATCGCTTTTCGATTGGTCATGCTGCATTATGAAAAACGTGGTAATAAAACCTCATGTTTACGGATTATGAATTTATAAAGGTTTTATGCCATTTAAAGTTGCTGTGCATAGCATGGTTTTTGGACTTTGAGTCTTGCATTCAACAAGTCGATATACGCTTTGGTTTTTGACTATAACTTGAATACATTTGTAAAAAATACTCTGCTTTGATTTTTGTTTAACATGATTTGAATTAATTAAAAAGATACGATGTATGTTTTGCCACTTATAACCTTCGTAAACGCTTTTTCGTTCAATGGTTAATTAGATATTTGTAAGTTAAACTTTTATGGTTTAATCCAAGGCAAAATGCATTTTTCTACATTAAAATTGATTAAATCTATTATATTTAGTAGTCTGATTGGCAAAATTTCTTCTTTCAATTAATTAACATTTTTATGTAAGGTTTTGGTTGAAACGAAAAAGTTAGTGTCACGAGATCCCCCTGGCAGTAACTTTTTCATTTCGACCAAAATCTTACGTAAAAATATTAAAATTAATCTTCGTCTACACTGATTTTTTAAGGAAAAACAAACAAGATCGAAAGGAAAACATTAGAAAATGTGATGTAAACAAACCAGTTAATATAAAATGACGCGAGAAACATTGGTAATGAGATTTTATTCTTAAACATTCTATTCATTTTCAAAAAACAAGTTCAAGGTTTGAAGTAATGCACGTTATTATTCAATTTTTATAATACAAACTACAAAGTGAAAAATAAAATAAACTTTATATATAATAACTTTATTTAAAAAAATGAGTGATTACTTTTGAGGTTTTGTACCATCCTGTATATATTTATAAATAGCAGAAATGATAAGGCGACTTTCTTGGTTCATGGCCTGACTAGTCGGGGTGATGGTATTGATAAAGTGCTTTGAAACCTAGACCGCGTAATATTTATTTATTTTTAAACGGAATTTATTTATATATTGGTGGTGAAGGTTTTAAGAAAAAGGATGACAACATTAGAGAAAATTTAACATATTCGAATAAACAAACTCTGTACTTAAAAACTAAACAAAAAACATTGAGAACGTGAGTTTATTTTTGAAATTTCTATTATTCGGAGATCGTGAGATACAGTCTGGTGTGACGTAGGTTTTAGAAAAACATTTTCTTTATCGTGCTAACGTTTCGATCTTTGTTGAGATTACCTTCAGGGCCAGGGATTTATAAACCTTTTTTGAATTTTACAAATACATGTAGGATGTGGAAAATACATATATTTGTAAAATTCAAACAATATTTATAAATCCCAGGCACTGAAGATGATCTCAATAAAGATCGATGGCACGAAAAAGAAAATGTTTTTCTAAAACTTACGTCACACCAGACCGCATCTCACGATCTCCGAATAATCATTGACTAACGGTCACTAAACACCACACATTTGAAATTTTATTCACTTTCAAAAAACAAGGTCAAGGATTGAAATAAATTATGCACGCGATAAGAAGTCCTCTTGCTTTAAAGCGAATAATAAAATTAACTGCAAAAAAGGTCGTAGAAAACATTTCGAATCAAGTGCTTATTAAGCTGTGCGTCTTTGTGTACATAGTTATTATAGAATAACAGCGCAATATCAAATGGACATTGATCCAATAGAATTTCCTTTTGATCTTAAACTTTAGAATCTGCTAAGAATTATATTACATTCTTGAATAGCTTTAAGTGTTGTTTTGTTCTAGATTTCAACAAATAAAGCTATATAACCTACGATAAAATTCAACACCAGCGTGTTAATTATCAATTTATCGATGGAAATTATAAATAAATATCATATTGCAAAAGAAAGCAGTTTGATAACTCTTTAATCGCATATAATTTTACTTTCACGATTCGAGCTAAAATAGTCAATAGTACAAATCGAATCTAATCAAGATAAGATAATTGAATGAAACCTGTTCTGAGGAAACCCGTTTTCGTTGTATCCAACCTTAAGAGAGAAATCCATTTTAGCTTGAAATAATGTCAGAAAATATTTTCCTTATTGAAAATCTTTTGCCGCCTATTCACGAATGAAAATAAATTCGCTCGATAGGTACACTTTTTCTGGGACGATTATTAGAAATTATTGCATTCACGTTGTCGTGTTTCGAAATGTTGTCACGCGAAATAACCTTAGAACATTCAACGACCTTTCGCCTTCTAAGGGTGTGCTAACCTTAAAGCATGCTTAGGTACAGTTGCAAATACAGACTAAACGAACGAAACGATGAAATTCTACCAACAATTGTTTACATTTTTATTTCTAATATTTTCTATTAAAAAATTGTAAACATTTCAAGTCACATCGACTTAAAATGATACGATAATAAGGAATTTAACTCTAAACAAAAAACATAAATATTACGTTAAATATTTGTTTGTTTTTTTATTTTTTCCATGATCTTCAGAGTGCCGGTGTTTTTGAAAAAAAGCCCATTTGTAAGTATGTCGGGTTTGGATGACCTATACCTTACAGTGAAGAGCGCCTTGTAAATGCCTAAACCGTTGCGGCCACCGAAGCCCCCTGTTAAATGTATTGATAATGTGTTTCGTGCTTTTAAATTGTTAATTTACACGTCATCGAAAATATTGAAAACTACTAGAAATCGATATGAATATATTATTGTTTATTTTATTTAGCAATAAGTAGTATATTCTTTAAGTTGATGGCTACCATTTTTCAAACAAAAATGTATTTGTTATTTTTTCCCATTACAATACAACTTGTTGTGCAAGGAATTAAAATAATAACAAAAGTAATTCTAAAAACGTTGTAAATTAAGTTTTCTTGCGTATCCTTGCCATGAACTTACAACTCGCCATCCCTTGCGTTTTTGTGAGACTATGGGATGTCAACTTGTTCTACTTCTACCTTTATGTAAAAAACTACTCTCCAAATTGAATAACTTCTATTAACTTCTACTCCAAGAAGAATTGATGAGGAACGATTTTATAGCGCCAGATTGGGCTGCAATAGGAGAAATTATAAATTGATCAAAAATGTTTTTTCTATAGAAAATTTATTCTTTCACCTTGGGATACACCTTTCTCCAAAACGATTTAATCATATTGAAACAATTCTTTTTTAATTTTATAAATCAACAATAGGCAAAGAATCGTAGAGAACTGGGTTTTTACAAAACCCTCGCTCCTGGTTATAAATAACTCAATTAATTAAGGTTTTTAGTTGAGATAAAAAAGTCAGTGTCACGAGCGGGATTCGAACCCACGACCTTCCGCTAATTACGCCGCTGCTCTACCACTTGAGCTATCGTGACTTCGATCCACTCGAACACCAACTTCCCATCTCAACCCCACCTTTTGAATTTTCCTCCTTTTTGCCATTTTTCAAATATCGTGTAATCTATTTGATTCTCGGCGACAAATGAAATGGCCACGGAAAGCTTTAGTGAAGATATACTTCATTTGAACTTATTCAATTCACTAGTTTTCGTGGTCCGTGACACTGACTTTTTTATATCAACTAAAAACCTTAATTAATAGCAAGATATTAATTGGTCATGCGGACCACGGAATTTAATGGGTATAAATAACTTTTTTTATTTAAAAAAGAATTATTAAACTTTTGTAAACTTAGGTGTTGTCATCTAAGTTTACTATACAAAATAAAATAAAAGATATTGGTTGTAATAGACCACATAGGTTTTAAGAAAATGGCACTAAAAAATGGCTACTGCAGTTCTTTGATCGTTGAACAGAAAGTACACTTTGAAAAGTATTTGAAAAATAAATGCGTATCAAAATTCAAATCCAAGAGTAGAAGTGAAGTTAAACCAAATAATAGGGATAAACCCCTAGCTGTTCGACCAAAAAAATAATCGCTACCCTTTACT